AGGTTCAGGAAACGAGGAGGAAGGCAGGGAACAGTTTGCAGAGAACTTTAGAAATCTTTTTTTTTCAACGAAGCCAATTTTAAATCATGTATTAAAGCATGTTGTGCTGATTATTTCAGCACAAAGACACACAGGCAGGCTTTTTAGGTGCTGAGCAAGCCTCCCCAAGTCTCTTCAGAGCCAGCCCATAGACGGGGAGAGGAGGGTGCAGGAACGGGGGAAAATCACAAAATGGCTGCCAGGCTCCCTTCTGGGTGTCGGCTTTTAGCTGTTTCCTGCTCTTTTTCCTGCTGTTTGGGGGCTACCAAGGCCTGGTAAATCACTTTCTTTTATTTATTTTTAAGTTTCTGACCCTTTTTTCCCCTCCAGAAGCCTCTAAGGGGAGGGAGGGGCACTTTTTTTCCCTGTACCTAACTCGAGGGAAGTTCGTATGTTGAGTCCTTATTTCCCCTATAGGGCAGGTTCGTAAGTTGAATTGTTCGCAAGTAGGGTCATTCGTAAGTTGAGACCCCACTGTACATAAAAACAGCACCATCATGAGAGACAAAAAATATTTTTAAAACATTTGGCTTTCATGGAATGGGTCTAAATTAACACATACTGCAATGGTTTCTACAATTTAAGAGAATTTTATTGGCGTTATTCTAACAAATGCATATTGCTATGGCATCCATATGCCTTCAGATAAAATGTGCCCTGTTAGTATTTTAGCCAGAGCTTGCAAAGGTTCATTTTTTTGGACTCTAACTCCCAGAATCCCTCTAGTCAGCATGACCATGCTGGTTGGAGGATTCTGGAAACTGTAGTCCAAAGAAGTAAATTTCGTGAGTTTTGATCATGGCACAGTGTTGTACTCTGAGAGAGAGGGGACTTCATGTTTGTCCTTTTTTTTTTAAGATCCAGGTGGCTTCCATTCAGACAGCTGTTATTGTTTGGAGTAGTTCTGTTGCCATTCAATCCCAACATGAGAGCAGCAATACAGCAGTCCAAAAACAGAGAGTGTTGCCCAGGGCCAGCCTGTGAACACAGAGAATAGAAAAGATTAAGGCAGGCACAACTTCTTATCATCCACGAAGCTATGCAACAAACTTCAGAGCTCTCAACAGTGCCGGTCTCTTAATTCTGAATCGAATGTGAATCATGGGATTCCACTTTCTCAAGATCACTTTGGGGGTTTCACTTACTTTGATCTTTATTCAGGTTTTATTTAAGGACACCAAGACCTAAATTGCCAAAAGCCACAAAGCAGAGGTATCAAAATAAGCTAAGATAAGGCTTCACAGCTCCATAATCACACCCCTTACTGTAAATGTTCTGTTAATATGTCAGTTAATACGTGGTGGCGCTGTGGGCTAAACTGCAGAATCCTGTGCTGCAGGGTCAGAAGACCAAGCAGTCGTAAGATCGAATCCATGCGACGGAGTGAGCTCCCGTCGCTTTGTCCCAGCTCCTCGCCAACCTAGCAGTTCAAAAGCATGCAAATATGAGTAGATAAATAGGTACCACCTTGGTGGGAAGGCAAAACGGCGTTCCCTAGTCACGCTGTCCACGTGGCAACGGAAACTGTCTTCAGACAAGCGCTGGCTCTATGGCTTGAAAACGGGATAAGCACCACCCCCTAGAGTCGGACACGACTGGACTAAAAATGTCAAGGGGAACCTTTACCTTTACCTTTACCACCTTACATTTTGCACAATTACTGTGAAATTCAGGTAATGGAAAAAGAATTCCTCTAAAAAATACTATGTTTTAGAGAGAAAAATAAGTATTCACTATAGTTTCTCACAAGTGGATATAACCCTTTGGCTGATGTTGTGGGCTTCGGACCCTCATTATGTCGTTATGTGGGGTTATTCATATGTAAATACAAATACTGTACCCCTATCTCTAGTCTGGACCGAAGAATGAAAACAAGAAATCTAAAGACAAGTAAGAACCAAAGTGGAGTGTGTTATCATTGTCTAGGATAATGTTGGCCTGATAGCTCACTAAGTTAGGCATCAGAGATTGAGTGTTCAACCCCCCCACTATGGCTTCTGGGAAAGAGTCAGCCTGTGTAGTCTTGGGCAAACTGTAGAGTACCAGAGCACTCCCAAGAAGAAGAGAACAACAAATTATTTCTGAGTAGTCCGCACTCAGAAAACTCTGGAAAGGACTGCCATAAGTGGGGATTGACTTGAGAACACATAAATATTATTATTTAAAATGCTTCCATTCCAAAATGGTTACTTCCTAGTGCAATGCATTTGCTTTGAGAAGTTTTATGGAAAAACCAGCAAGGTAATTTTTCTGTGTTTGCCAACTCCAGCAACCTGGAGAACTCCTTTTGTATGGCACTATCTCACAATACCTTGTTATATTAAATAGAGAGAGAGAGAATGGAATAGAACAGATTAGAACAGAATAGATGAAAATAAATGAAGAGTCAGATTAAAATACAATCAAATGCATTTATTGCTGTAAATGTGACATTATACCATTTTATCACCCAATGTTATCCAATTTCAGAAGCTAAGCAAGGTGAGTCCTGATTAGTAATTGCATGGGAGATCATCAGAAATCTCCAGTAAACCTTGGAGAACTACTGCCATTCAGAGCTAACAGTAAATCAACTTTCTGCATTCTATAGAATTCTACGGTCTGCCCTCCCTTTGAATGAGGGAGACACCGGATCCTAACTGATATTTTGACATGGCTTATACTTTCAGTGACTGCAACATCAATTATCAACCTACATGTACGAATGCACCAAGTAGGCAAAAGAACCCATCAGCACATTTGCACAGATTACGGTCCTCAGAGTAGATCTCATGTGCTCCTTTGAATCCCAACAGATTGTAGAGTTTGGTCTTTTGACCCTTTTATATAATTGAACGGACAGAAGCTCAAACTCATTGTCTTGATTCATTTCAGTTTCTTTTATCTTTCTCTGAATGAAGAACATATTAAAAAAAATAAAGATGGTAAAGCATATTCGCATCTGAAAAAATGTTCCCTTTGATCTTGCAAATTGTTAAGGTTTTAGGTTCCCCTTGACATTTAGTCCAGTCGTGTCTGACTCTAGGGCGCAGTGCTCATCCCCGTTTCCAAGCCATAGAGCCAGCGTTTTGTCTGTAGAGGTTTTAGAAGTAAGTTAAACAAACAATAAACTGTCCTTTCCTTTAAACAACCTTAGGAGATGGCATCAGGGTGGAAGCAAAGGAAAGGATATAGAAAAAACACAGCCCTCAAATAAAAATCCAGTAAATTTCATTCCATTTAGGCTTTGTATCAAATACACCCACTGCAGGCATCACTTTAAAGGAAGGCCAAAGCACCCTTGAAATGACTGCTGCAAATGAATGGCCTGTGTGTTCTTATGATTTGATTACAGGAGACGTGATGACACAGAAGTCACTAAAGAGAAATTAATTCTTTGGTGACATCATTTGAGTCTCACTGTGGAGGGAGGGCTGCTAAACCGGCAACACCATTTGCAAATGAAAACACGTGGAAGTCTCACATTTAACCTGCAAGAAAGTTGAAGCCCTATTTTGTGGTGATGGGGAGGATTTTTATCCAATTGTTTTTAAAAATCCGAAGGAAACATTTTTTCATAAGACAGCCCAATATTGTAGTACTCAAGGTCTTCCTAGCTATTGAATGAAAGACTTTGGCTTTATGTTATCAAACAAAATATAGTCACACATGCAAACACTCTAGCACCACTCATTGTCAGGTTGCTGAGAAATCTTCAGCATCCGTTGAATCCTCCAGGGACGCTAGGAGTTGTAGTCCAAAAAGCCAAACCAAAAGACCACCTTTCCAAGCCCTAGGAATAGGCGGGGTGCCTGATTCACAAAAGGATGAGGCCTGGCAACCTGGTGAGTGGATCTACAGATACAAGGGATGTGGGCAAGTCTTTAAGTCCAAGTCCTGATTCCAAGTCTGAGTCTTTGGTACAAAGTCTGAGTCCCTAGCAAAAACAAGCCTCCCCCTCAAAAGGGAGGGGTGGTGGGTTCTGAGTCCTGAGTTGAGTCTGAGTCATTGGGGGAAAAAAGTCAAGTCTCTGATGCAACTTAAGTCCAATTTGACAGCAAGTCTCGTGACTTGAGTCCCCATTCGTGGCAGACACCTATCTAGAGTTCACTCTTCCATAGGAAACACATGGCACATAGTGTTACAGTAATTGGAGTGAGGCAGACCACTGGCTCCCCTGCTTACTGTGCCCACTACGAAAGTTGCAGGATCTACAAGCTTTCTGGCACAAGTCTTTCTCAGAATTGCTCCCCCAAAATAAACCAGGAACCCATTGCCCCTACAAGATTCCAGCCAATAGGCACAGCTTTAAAACAACACAACATAAAAACAAAAGAAAACCTTACCATCTCCTCCAAGAATCAATTCCACGCTATCATTAGGTAATTCAAGAAAATAACATGGAGGAGGCAGTGCTGCAATGGTACCCCCAAAAAAACACACACATAATTCCTGCTTCTGACAAGGCTTGTATACACTCACTTGTAATCTGTTCAAACAGCCCCCTGTACATGAGTGCTGATGTTGCTTAGTAAAAGAGCCGAGCATCAGTCACAGGGCAGTTTGCCGTGGAAATGCAAGAGCTAGCCCCGCTGCAAGAGAGAGAGACACAACACAGCCCTTCCTAGAATGCAATGGGCAAAGTCTTCACTGCATGCATTCTAATGAGGTCTCGGAATTTTCCTGCAGAGCAGCATCTATGAAACAAGTACACGTTCATCCAGCTCATTGTTTTAAGCACAGCCTGTCCTGCATTACAGGTTTCTCTGGGTTATATACTAACATCCAGATGAAAAAAGAAAGCCACACTACATTTGAAGCTTGGAAAAAGTAACTTTTTTGGCTACAAACTCAAAGCACACCCACACACCCACGGATGGGTGACCATGGTGCTTGAGGGATTATTAGAAAAAAGTAAATTTTCTAAGCTTTGGCTGCTTCAGACACATCATCTGCTGCTTAAAGCTTCCTAATTCACAGGGCCAGGGATCGCCCTTGGGACATTCTTTATATATGGCCTGTGCTCCACCACTGAACTTGCTTCCTTGATAATTCTGAAACTAATTCAAGACGTTTGGTTTAAACACTAAGGCCAAACCACACACACATGTGATCTTGCTTTCTCTCACATGCTTGAATGTGCTGGGATTGTGCACTCAGTTGCACACCTGTGCATGTCATGGACAGCCTGATAAATGCAAAAACGACATTTCTGCTATGTTTCCAATGTAGAGTTTTGAGTAGCCTCCCATCTAAGAGACTGGTAAGGCGTTTTATCTGTTCAGCTTTAGTTTAACAAGACTTCAAGATCATTTGGCCCATTCACTGAGCCTTTGGAGGGCCAATTTTAATGAACCAATCTGATCTAATCAATTAACTTAATCATGTGCCACCTCTTACTCTCTATGACTATGAAGGATCTGAGGGTGAAGTCCCACTGTGGTGTAGTCCCACTGCCATGTTAGCTGACAACATTTTAGCAGCATGGACTTTGAACTAAAAATGCAAAGAAACTTTGCACTAAAAAGTATGACAGCAACAAAATTCAAAATGACCTTGATAGGATGGAGCCGAAAGCAGCAGAATGAAATCAACAGGGATGAGTGCAAAGTCCTGCACCTTGGAAAAAGAAACTAATTGCACAGTTACAAGATGGGGGAATACCTGGCTCACCAAAACTATGAGAAAGAAGGATCTCAGAATTTCCTAGACCACAAGCTAAATATAAGCCAGCAGTGTGATGTGGCTACAAAAAAGGCAAATGCTATTTTAGACTGCATTAATCAATGTATAGTTTCCAAATCCCACAAGATGCTAGTCCCCCTCCATTCAGCACTGGTTGGGCCTCGCCTTGAGTATTGTGTCCAGTTCTGGAAACAACACGTCAAGAAAGATGCTGACAAATTGGAACAAGTTCAGAGGAGGGCGACAAGGATGATTAGGGGGCTGGAAACCAAGCCTTATGAGGAAAGGCTGAAAGAACTGGGGATGTTTAGCCT